GAAAGAGAGAGAGAGAGAGAGAGAGAGGCAGAGAGACATAGAGACAGAGACAGAGACAGAGGCAGAGACAGAGACAGAGAGATAGACAAACAGACAGACAGACGTTAATTTAATCTCTTCCCTGCCGTACAGGCATAAGTTCTGGCGTGTGTTCCCCGACATTGCCTCAATGCTATCTTGTTTCTCCTGCTGGCATTTAATAGAACTTAGAAGAAGGTTAAGGAAATGTAACTAAGCCTACCGCTTGTACACACGTTCATCTTAAATTAAAGGGAGAGATGAAATTATCTGGCTTTGCTGAAATCTGTCTTGAATAAACATTCGTATCTCGTCAGCACATACGTAGTTAGACAGGATTAAACAAAGAAGGGGGTTAATTTGTGTTAAATGGAAGGTGTCGACTCGCTGGTTTATCGCGAGCCCCGCCTCATTACCCGCGGCCTACTGCGCCAGATAGAGAAACTGTGAGGCTTCGTAGAGAAATCAGGCGCTCGTCAAAATAATGAACTCGAAGAAAGCGGCATTTTCCCCTAAGTTTGTTAATTTTTTAAAAATAGAATTAATTGGGGGGCCAAAATCAACTTTTACGTCCATTTAAAAAGACATTTTTACTGAACAACGTTGATTGGAGGCACAAAAGTAAATTTGCAGCTTCTAAGGACTCTCAAGCTATTTATTTCACCATGGTTTGTGGGAGACATGAAATAACAGGCTAGCCCAGGATAGAGAAATAATGTGGAAAGTGTTTGTGCGTAGCCTATACCCTGGTGCAGGGTGAGAAAGGCAATGATGATATTTGTTTTAGTAGAGGTTTTACGGCACTCGCAACTGCATAAGGTCATATGAGCGCCAGCAATGGTGATGGTTTGGGGGCCATTTTCTCGTCAATTCTACTTCTGACACCAAGCGACCCCCACCTCCTTCAATCGCAAATATGTCAACTTCTATTCTAGATAGATGGATCGTTTTTCCATCACATGCAAGGTAAATGAACAAGTTTTAAGATTATTCCAATAAGTCCATAAGCCTAAAAACTGACGAACACCTGATTATACCGAGTCGTGACACATTGTTGTCTCTCTCGACTCCGCTGAGTATCTCTCCTGTCTGTCAACGGAAACGTCTTCCCGACCCCCTGACCTCACTTCACACTCACGCCCACACGTGTGAGGAGAGACATCCTTCGCTCACATCTCAACACGAAGCTCTACCCTTATTGTACTGTAAACCCTCCCCCGCCCCCCCCTTTTTTCCCACCGATTAAAAGAAGAACACAAACAAATAAAACAAAACAAGACAACAAAAAGAAATCCCACGTCTTTTATTTAAATTCTGACCCCGTTATCTTTTATCGAAGTTTTACTACCCGGTTCTGGGCCCCGCCTGTCTGAAAAACTAATCTGAGTCCATGCAGTAAGCT